GTGGAATCTAGAAAGAATGAAGATGCATAAGTTCTCACCAACTTTGAATTCATGTCTGTGAGAAGATAAGAGAAACTTTCATTCCAAACGAAAAATAATTTATAGTGGAAGAGAAAGAATCCTCTATATGGGCTTTTCTTACCCTTTCCTGTTTCTATACGAGTGAGTTTAAATCCGTGTTCAGTATTTATAAGGACTGTTCAAATATTTGTGATCGACTGATTTCGGGTGCGTTTATCCAAGACGCTAATAATTGGGGTAAAAAACCGTAATTAGTTGTTTTTTTTTTAATTAAACGTCGATATTATAATGCTTGTCCGTCATTATGCACAAGCTAACATGCGAGCGAGATTCTTCGAGAAGAAAAATCATTACCACGATTGGCCTTCATGTTTAAGAAACAAATGTTCATTTGCTGGTATTTTATTGTTTTTAATCCTTGATTTTAATAACATTTTAACGTAAAAACTTTAAAACAATTAGGCTACCAACCACCAGATAACTTGTGTGATTTTTTGTAATATATATGACAGAGGCTTGGTTTGGTTAAAGTTTATGAAGAACACCCGCTTAAAAATCACGGGAGATTTGATGTTAAGCAATTTTTTATTTATATAATTTTTAAAATTATTTGCTGATATGAATAAATAGGAAAAAACTGCTTTTAATTAGCAATTGAATTGTATTCCTGTGCAAAAAATATACGACAATATTCTTGTTGCAAAATAGATATTATTTCACGGCTGCCATATTTAATGCAACACTTAGTAACTTTTTGATGCTGATATGTTTTTATTTTCAGTTATAAGAACAAACACAAAAACAATAATACATAATCGAATCATTATTATCGGAGTAAGCGGGAACGAAGTCTATTCATTATTATTATTAAGTTGCAGACTAGAGTGGAAATTACTATGCAAGTAAGAGCAGTTTAACTTATTTAAAAATCTCACTAAGACACCCTGTTTTTGCTCTGATACGGTAACAAACAAAACATTTATAACCAGAAATTGAAACATTGATATCGATAAAGCCATAAAAAAACTTAAAATTTTAATATTGGGTTTGTAGTGAGATCTCTTATTTGAATCATACACAGTTGATTCATAGAACATAATATTTCATTAAGTCTTAATCTGTAGCGATTATTGTCATTTATTTGACATGAAATGTCTTTGTGACCACCAAAATATAAATAATAAAATCACTTATTTCTTGACAAGTCAGTTTGTCTCGAATGACATAAAACCATTTATCTATAGAATGTATACCTATGAAATCATAGCCAGATGCGGGTCTAAAGTAATACTCAATCCTATCGTATTGCCCATCTACGCAGTAAGTTTTCTAGGTATTAAAAAAAAAAATAACAACTGCAATTGTAATTCCGATCTTTGCAAAACTCACGTTTATGTTGATTTCTAGTTGAATTATAGTTATTGTTGTAGCATACCTACGGACGATAACAGGTATATCCTCATTCACATAAATACAGTAGTAAATACTGTATGTTGGTCTGCAGTCGGAGATTCGTCTCCAGCTGTGCTGGTCAAAATCTCTGCCTCCGGGCAGAGATCATCCCCAGACGAGTCTATGTTGAAGGGCAGAGTTTCGTCTCGGGAAACAGCTACCCGACCCCGTTTTATACGGGGTCTACGAGGAATTTTTGTTCGAACCTAAGGGCTCGGATACTCCACATTAAATTCGGCCTTGTGCCACATCTGACCGCGTGGTTGCGGTTGGTAGATATCCTGCAGTTGGAAATTCATTTCTGGAATTTACTTGACTCAATTCTAGCAGTTGACTACTACTTCTACGCGAATCTTATATGTGTTGTTCTTGTCCTAAGTATTATCGCCATTACCAATCTCCGTGTGATTATTCTGTTCAGTAACCTTTCCTAACTTACAACAGTTATTTTCATATTTATATAAATTGTAACATTTACATGTTTGCAAAGGGAACATTTTCAATTTCATATCTCAGAACGAAGATGATCATGGCTCTATGCAGCTTCTTTTTCTTTAATATGAAAGTATTGCGATGTCTTCTTTAGAAATGTATTGGAATAGCTTTCTGTTGATTTCCCCATAACTTGGAATTCGGAGTTGATTTTCACATAGATTTGCTGTCCTTCATGTTTAGTTACATCTCGCCATTTCAACTGTAAAATGATGAGGTCTTGCCGCCAATCGAGTAATATGCTTAAATTCGTAAAGTGTATGTACCAAAGAGGAAAGCTCATCAGAACAATGACCACGAACATTTTTAAAGAAAAGGCACAGTGAGGCTAGCCGAGATGCCAGGTCATGACCAGTAATATTTCAGATTCTTTGGATTTTATTAAGTATCTCTAAATATGTAGCGAGATCACCAAACCATATATGGCGGCAATATTCAAAGAATGAATGAATGGTAGACTTATAAATATGTAATATAAATTCTGGAGAGAAAAATTGTCTAGTACGACACAGCGAATCGACTTTCCTAGTAGCAGACCAAGCTTTGATTCAATATTAATATTGGTCCAATATTATCTTTTCCACTTCATGTCAGCCGAAAATTTCTCAAGAAATTGCCAGGAGCTACTCTACTGTAGGTTAGCATCAGCCATGCTGATGGAAGGCAAAAAAGTTCTCTCTCTTTCTCTCTCTCTCTCAAAAAAAAAATGCCTGAGAATTTTCCTTGTCTTCTCATAGAGATGCGTTCTTCAATATTAAGAAGTTGTGCATCACTCATTTTTCCGACATTCTGCGCCACTTGATTTGCCATTGCATTTTTTTCACACGTATTTTTTTTCTGAAAACAACGCTGATATTATTGCAACAAAATAAACAATCATAAAAACTATTTTGATGCAAGATTTGTGCTGTCAAAACACAAATCTTTCGTTTACTAGTTTGCAAAACAGCGTTTTCTCTTTCTAAGCGTTCCCGCCATTTCAACCTAATATAAACGCCAACAGAAACAGAGAAAGAAGAAAAGATACTGTTGTGGATTCCGAGATGAAATCCGGTCTCAAATGAATAACAAACAAAGGAATGAAATATAGCAAGTAAATGTATTGACGTAATAATACAATTGGTAATACGGTTAGTAGATCCAGAAATGCGGTTAGTAGCACTAATAATATATATACAGTCTGGGCAATTCAGTATCGAAGTATGACTTCCTTCAGAGTCTACGTGCTCGCAACTGTGACTCCTACAAAGCAGTTACCTCACGCTCGCTCTCTCTCTCCCGGTTATTCACCGGCAGCAGTATAAGTACACACTGGGCGAGTCCACTTGTATAAAAAGGATGAACCCCTTAACAGATACAAAAATAACAATGTTTAATATAAACAATTTTTAAAATAATTTTACCCCAAGCAAGGTGAGTATGCTATTAGTACGCAGGGTGTTATAGAGAGTGAAGGTGAAAGAAAAGATTGGGTGTAGGGGTGGGGACCGAGGAAAGGATAAAAACTGAACGGGGTTCAAGAAGATAGAAGATGGTGATTGACGTTGCATTTAAATTTGTGAAGATTGTAGTTATCAGGGAATCAAAGAAACGGAAGGGAGTTTCACAGACGGGAAGGGCGAGAAAAGAAACTGTTGGAGTAGAAGTGGCGCTTACATTTACTTAATTCAACAGTAAATGGGCTGGGCCTAGACGCCAATCTAATAGCACGCTTAAATAGATGTAGTCCGGAAATCAGGGAAAAAGCACGTCAGAGCAGTTGCCATGAAAATATTTGTAGAAAAGACAGAGGGAAGCCACTTCACCTCTGTGAGAAATGAATGATAGAAAATGGGAAGGAGGATAAATTGACAGAATTAAAATACAAGAATGCGAAAAAGAGGGGCGAGAGAGAGAGAGAGAGATAGAGAGGAGAAAGAAAGGGGTCGAAAAAGAGAGAGGTGAGAGAGAGAGAGGTCAAGAGGGAGAAGGAGAAACAGAGGCACGAAAGTGGAGGAGGAGGGAAGAGAGAGAGGAGAAAGAAAGGGATCGAGGGGAGAGAGAGAAGTCAAGTGGGAGAAGGAGAAACATAGGCACGAAAAAGGAGGAGGAGGGAAGAGAGAGAGGAGAAATAAAGGGATCGAAAAAGAGAGAGGGACGAGATAAAGAGGACAAGAGGGAGAAGGAGAAACAGAGGCACGAAAGAGGAGGAGGAAGGAAGAGAGAGAGAGGAGAAAGAAAGGGGTCGAAAAAGAGAGAGGGGAGAGAGAGATGTCAAGTGGGAGAAGGAGAAACAGAGGCACGAAAGAGGAGAAGGAGGGAATAGAGAGAGAGAGGGGAGAAAGGGATCAAAAAGAGAGAGGGGAGAGATAAAGAGGTCAAGAGGGAGAAGGAGAAACAGAGGCACGAAAGAGGAGGAGGAAGGAAGAGAGAGAGGAGAAAGAAAGGAGTCGTAAAAGAGAGAGGGAAAAGAGAGAGGTCAAAAGGGAGAAGGAGAAACAGAGGCACGAAAGAGAAGGAGGAGGGTCGAGAGAGAGAGAGAGAGAGAGAGAGAGAGAGAAGGCGAGAAGAATAAGACTGGAAAATAAAGAAAGACCGAAAGTAAGAGCAGACGGTTTTGGTGGGGAAGAAAAAACAGAAAAAGAGAGTAGGCGGAAGAATCTACGAGAAAGAAAGAGTAGAATATATAAGGGTGGTAGCGAAGGAACTTATCAAAAAGAGAGGAGAAAAAAAGAAGGAACGAGTGAGAAAGAGAAAAAGAGTTGAGGGAAGGAAACACAAGACAAAAGAAATCGGACAAGAGAAAAATAAGAGAGAGAAAGAAAGAGAAAAGTATATACAGGTGTGATGACGAAGGCGCTAACGACAAAGTAAGAGAGGGGGATAGAGAAGAAAAACGAGAGGAAAGAAAAGAGACAAGGCATGGGTGAAAGAAAAATGAGTGAAGAGAAAAAGAAACCGAATGTTACGATGTATAAAGACACGCCCAGTTAGCTGCACAGACGAGACAAAAAGAAACTATACAGCTGAAACGAACTTTCAGTGCACCTATTTGTATGTTTTGCTCCCATTTTATTTTGCACGGTAACGTTTCCAGCAGCTTACATACAAGCTGACATCTTCATAATAGTGCCACTTGCTTATATAACCTCATTTCGCTTGCTCGCTCGTTCTGTTGAACCGACAAACTATATCCGGCAGCAAGGCCTCTGATCCGGAGATTGGAGGTTTTGAGGAGCGTTGAACCACCCCTTAATTGCTGTTGTTTCCAGGTTGTCACTTACCCGGGGGTGGTAGCACCTGTTAGGGTCCCAGTTATGGGCAAATAGGAAACACCCAAACGAAACACTATGAAAGTATAAAAATACATTTTTATAGTTCTAGTATCGTATGCAACTTAGATAGACAAGTATAAACAGAGAACAACTGGCGAACCCGTTTGCTAAACATAACACAGAGAACTGTACTACGACTGTTACTACAAAGAGAGATATGCAAAACATAACAGTAAACATACCAGCAATACATTTTTATAGTAAAAAAATGATCAACGGTACATATTTATAGTAAAAATGACCAACAATACAGTTTTAAGGTAAAATGAGTAGCAATACATGTTATTTGTAGTGGTAGGCATACAATTGCGTTCAAAATATATTTAGTTGAAGCTATAAAATTATAATCATATTATTTAGATTTCGGCATTAAATGACCCATAGGGGTGTTGATATGCTGCCAAACAAACCAATTGAACCTATAAACTACAATCGGCAACAAGGCCTGATCCGGTGATAGGCGGTTTTTGAGGAGCGTTGAACGATTTTAAGTGCTGTTGTTGCTTACCTTCACCCTCACCCAGGTTTTTTAGTACCTTTTAGGATCCCAGCTATGGGCAAATAATGACCCCCCAAAAAAAAAAAACACACACACACACACAATAAAAGCATAAAAATACATTTTAATAGCTAAAATACCAGTAATATTTTTTATGTAAAAAAAAAATCAACAAAACATATAATAAAATGAGCATCCATATATTTTATCGGTAGACTAAAATTGTGTTCAAGATATTTAGATTTCAACATTAATTAACCAATGGATGTTGACATTTAAACAAAATCAACCAAGTAACCAATGTGTTGAAATTATAGACTTCGCATGATGGGCGCCATCCATTAAGTCGTCCGACCCCAGATAGAATATTTGCATTACCAGCAACGCAGTTTCTGAAACAATGCGCTACTAGCCTTTACTCTTTCTTCGGTAGTATAAATCTCAACGCCCCAATAATAACTGGGACAACAGTAGACTTAATGTCTCACATTCTGGCAATTTCAGGTCTCTGTATATTTTGAACTTACCAATTTCTTTAACGATGATATTATGGTCACCAGAAACAGGCACGTCAATAAGGATGCATTTCAGTCTTTCTTAGCCAACCACAGGGATTATTATTATTATTTATTCATTGAGCGTTCATGGCGATAATAGCTTGTGAACGGCACTGAAGATTAGGTGACATACAATCTTCTCACTATTTTTGCTGTTTTCAATAATGCTGTTGTCTCGATGGTTCCAATCCTTCCCATTATTATTCTTTCCATTTTTTCTGATTTGTTGATTCATGCAATTATTTGCCAAGTTTTATCAGAGATAAAAGAAGTTTTTTTCTTAGAAGATTCACGAGAAAATTATGTTCAGAGAGATTTGTCTCTCCTATTTCCCCATTTTCCACTCCTCCCTCTCCTTTCTTTATTTCTTTCTCTAGTCCTTGCTCTCTTTCTTACACTCTTTCTCTCTTTCTAACACTTCTTTCTCTCCTTCTTCTACTCCTTTACATCCTTCTTCCACTCATTTCTCTCCTCCTTTTCGCCGTTTTCTCTCCTCTATTTTTCGCCTTTTTTCTCTCCTCTATTTTTCGCCTTTTTTTCTCGCTTCTATTTTTCACCTTTTTTTCTCTCCTCTATTTTTCGCTTTCTTTCACCCTACCCTTCTCTCCTTCTTTTTCCTTACCCTTCTCTCCTTCTTTCTCCCTACCCTTCTCTCCTTCTTTCTCTCTTCCTGTCTCACTTTCTTCCTGTCTCACTTTCTTTTTCTCCGTGTCTCTCTTTCTCCCTCCCGCTCTCTTTCTCCCTCTCTCTCTTTCTCCCTCTCTCTCTTTCTCCTTCTATTCCTTTCTTTTCTTCTTTCCCCTTTTCTTTATCTCCTTCTTTCTCCCTTTCTTTATCTCCTTCTTTCTCCCTTTCTTTATCTCCTTCTTTCTCCCTTTCTTTATCTCCTTCTTTCCACCTTTCTTTCTCCTTCTTTCCCCCTTTCTTTATCTCTTTCTTTCCCTCTTTCTCTATCTTCTTCTTTCCCCCTTTCTTTATCTGCCATGCTCTCTCTCTCTCCTACCACTATCTCCCCAGCTTTCTCTCCTACCTTTATCCTCCTCCTATTCTTTCATTCTGTTCTTTCCTTTTTCTCTCACTGTCTGCACTTCGATAAATAAGTGGATCTCAGATATGTGGCTATTCTGCAATCCCTTTCTCTGATTCTCTATGCCATGATCGTTTTATTATGTAGTTACTGACCACGGGCTTTACCCCCATCTTATTGTTGCTTTTACTCACAAAAGCAACAACAACAAGAAAGAGTTAAAGCTAATTATCAAACTGTTTATATCATGATATAACTGGTGGGGTTAAAAAGCACCAGCTTCGCTTTGTACAATCATTAGACATCTCGACTATGACCATGCCACAATAGCGGATGGTCATGAGATGGAAAAGGAATAGCTGTAATTTACTCAGCCTTGCTTAGTATGACACGAGGTCTCAAGTATGAGGTACCACGTGTGGCTCGAATCCATTAACCAGTAGTAATAATCAACCAGACTATCTCACTAACCACAACACCACGCCGAGGCGCTCAAGCTAAATGAACACTGAATTTTATTTATAAGTAACTTTGCATAAATGAGTCGAAGATACACAAAAATAGAGATGTATGGCAAGGATGTGTCTTCTTACCAGAATTATTTAACCTTTCCATTGAGGCGATCTTGGGAGAACTACCAGGTTAATAGCATATGATATGCAGATGACGCAGTGTTCATAGCAGACACAGAAAGGAAACTACGGGAACTCCCAAAGAATTTAGAAAGTGAAAGTGAAAGTGAAAGAAAAGATTAACCATCAATTGTCAATAGGTAATGTATAGTTTTCAGCAAGAGGAACAGTTCAACATGTAAACTACGAATGGGAAATTCCAAAATTGAGCAAAAACAAGAAAATTTTAAATAACAGGGGACGGAAAATGTGACACCGAAATCTGAAAGTTTAATGGAGTAGCAAAATATGCTCTCCAAAAACTAAACAAGATATTAAACAAAAAGATTTCGTTAGAAACAAACAAAAACAGACATAGAGGAGACTTCAAGCAAGGGAAATGTGATTATACAGAAAGGTAACGATAATACAATAGATAGAATATATGAATTGATTTGTTTTTGTTTAACGGCACATCAACACCTTATGGGTCATTTAATGCCGAAATTTGATTTCCTTGTGAGTTTGAAGTAATAAAAATATGATGTTATTCTGCTTTCATAATTGAATACATGGTAGATGATACGAAGCTTTTGTGCATATACATATTTGTGTGGATATGATTACTAGATAGGTGTATTTTATGTTGTAGTCTTGTTGAAATTATATTTTGGAATACGTTTGATTGCTTTGAGAAATTGTAGGATATTATATAGATTAATATTGCGCCTTCCTCAGGTTTATATACCACGTCTAAGCTATGCTTAGAAAATAATTATATCCAAGAATGTATAAATGATAATATAAATTTATTCGCAACTTTTCTTTAAATGGTATCGCAAAATTATTAGCAACTTTCTTATATGTATATAAGGGAGTTTTCCTGAAAGTAATGCTTATCAGGTAATATCTATTATAATAACAAAATCAGATATATAAAACTGCATACATATATAGGAGGCACATATTGAGGAATCGGAGAGCCGAGTTCGAATTCCAGTCGAATCCATTACATTCACTTACGTACTAATACCTTTGGAAAAGGTATAAATCCTCTTCTTCTTTCATCAGCTATGGGTAAATAGCAGGATAGACTGGGTTCTATACCATTGGATAGCAACTGGTCTACCGCAAAATGGCAAACTACTGCGGGAAAAAAATCTGCCTTGTCAGTCATGTATCGAAAGATACATAATCGCCTAAGCGTGTATCAAGCATGGCACATAACTGACTGACTGATGTTGCATTTGAAAAACTATTTACTGAAATTAATTTGCTTAAATTTGTTGAAAAATCCAAAAGAGAAACAACACTATACAGAATTTAATATGAAAAAGACGCTAGCTACTTCTGAATTATTGTGAAACGAATGAATAAATTTCCATTCCATTCGAAGATCTCTTGATTTAAAAAGAAATAAAATATTTTCATGACAATAAATTATATTTACAAGAGCCTTTTTCTGTCAGTAACGCTTGCATTAATTACGAAGAAATAACAATCTCTTTCTTATTTATATCTAGAATTCTCAAAATGTGTGTATGTATGTATGTGTGTGTGTGTGGTCGGATGTTGTTAATGCGTTTTCACAGTTTTCACCCGATTTTGATAAAGTTTCTTTTTTATTTGATAGATACTTCTTCAGTACCGGTTTTGAGTTCAAATTGGCTGGAAAAAATTACAATTTTGAAGGTGAAAAATCGAAAAAAATAATTTTTTACGCTTTACGCAAAAATCAAATGGAAAATTTAATGTCTGTAAAAAAAGCAAAAAACAGCGTACAATCAGTTTAGAAAGTTGAAATCTAACGCAAAAGATTATTAGAATTATAAAAACATAATATTATAAATAAAAAGTGTCGTATATTATTATTATGAAAGTCCCTGGAAAAGGTTCCTTCCTTGCAAGATTGAGAACGGAAAAACGGCTCTTTTCAGCACCCCCGATTCAAATAGTTACCCCCACCCCCATTTGGGGATGTGTCTCAGTCCCACTCAATTGTTGTTACTAGTATTGATTTTCGGGTGGGCTGATTTTAAACTTAAACTGCTTCAATTGAACGGTAAAAATTCCTAGTAATGAAACATCCGGTCGAAGACGGATTATACTGCCTGCTAGTTTTTTTTTCATTAAATCAACGATAGATAACCATTTTCTCTGATCAATGATTAAAGATTGTACCAAGCCAATGGATCCTATCGCTGTTAAAGACAAGACTTCATCAGATCTTATAGACCGGCACTACAAAATCCCAAAGAACTTTACCAAATAACAAAAACTTTATTAATTGAAGACTTCCAATAGATAGCGCATATAAATATAAGGGTAGATGATATGATGAAGATGTTTGCATTTCTCACTCCTTCAAACAAAAGGTTAGGAAGGAAACTTCCACTAGTACTAGAAAGAGCGATAACCGTGGATATCAGAAACCGGTTCTCCTGGTGAATGATTAAAAGAGAAAGTGTTGATAAATTTCGACCAAAAGTAATGCTAACTGTTCGTTCAGTGAACGCAGAAAGTTTTCTGTATGGAAACGGTTAATCTCATTATTACCATTCCTCAAGACCACAAATATAGGACACTCAGTAACATCCAATATTTATATAACTCGCTTCCATATGTGTGTGCGTGTAGTGTAACGGTTTTCTGTGGAGGAAAAGTGAAATCAGCGTGCCGAGTTCAAGTCCCGGTTGAGTCTGTTGTGTTCATATTTCGCAGAGATACCCTTATTAATCCCTCTGATTTTCTCCGCCTCCAGTTTGGAGTTAAATAACACATTCTAGGAGAAAGAAAACTCCATGAAGACAGCAACGGAAATCACATTCCTATATTTCCCAAGACGTTAGAGCAGTTCACACATAATAAAAGAAAGGATTCATGAGAGAGCCTTGGTCGCCTGTATACGGAAGGCGGATGGCATTTTATAATAGAAGACTGTAATAACATCACTTGCAACGCTTTTCTATTGTGAAATTAATACTACAGTAAAATACTAGGTTGGCCAGAAAGTCCCGACTCACTGAGGAAGCTGAAAGGAAACAACGAAATTTTATGGAGCAACAGAAATATTAGGTTAGGTTAGCGGGCAGAAGATCGTCGAGTATGATGAATTTTATTTTGAAGAATAAATGTTGATATTCCTCCTCAAAATTATGTTTTCTTTCGGCTTCCTAAGTGAGTCAGGACTTTCTGACTAAACGAATAATGCAGAGCGGAAGACTATAGTAAAATCACTTGCAATGAATTTACGTTATAAATGATATTGTTTTCATCTGTCACCAACACTTTTATTAATTGCTGAGGTAACAATATTTCTTCTCGATCATTATTGCATTGTCACAGTGAGGTCATTTACAACGCTTTTTCTATCGAAAATCATTATTAATGTAATTCTACAGTAAAATTATTTGCAGCGCATATTTATGGCAAAACTATTTTCAATACTAAAGCCATTTGCAATGCAATGTATTTGCAATGCAACGCATTTCTATATTAAAAGTATTTGCAACGCATTTCTATATTAAAAGTATTTGCAACGCATTTCTATATTAAAAGTATTTGCAACGCATTTCTTTATTAAAAGTATTTGCAACGCATTTCTATATTAAAAGTATTTGCAACGCATTTCTTTATTAAAAGTATTTGCAACGCATTTCTATATTAAAAGTATTTGCAACGCATTTCTATATTAAAAGTATTTGCAACGCATTTCTTTATTAAAAGTATTTGCAACGCATTTCTATATTAAAAGTATTTGCAACGCATTTCTTTATTAAAAGTATTTGCAATGCATTTCTATATTAAAAGTATTTGCAATGCATTTCTATATTAAAAGTATTTGCAACGCATTTCTTTATTAAAAGTATTTGCAACGCATTTCTATATTAAAAGTATTTGCAACGCATTTCTATATTAAAAGTATTTGCAACGCATTTCTTTATTAAAAGTATTTGCAACGCATTTCTATATTAAAAGTATTTGCAACGCATTTCTTTATTAAAAGTATTTGCAACGCATTTCTATATTAAAAGTATTTGCAACGCATTTCTATATTAAAAGTATTTGCAACGCATTTCTATATTAAAAGTATTTGCAACGCATTTCTTTATTAAAAGTATTTGCAACGCATTTCTATATTAAAAGTATTTGCAACGCATTTCTATATTAAAAGTATTTGCAACGCATTTCTTTATTAAAAGTACTTGCAACGCAATCCTTTATTAAAAGTATTTGCAACGCAATTCTTTATTAAAAAGTATTTTGTCTATATTTCTGAGATGAGGTATTATGTACACTATTTACATTGCTCGGACGATCATCCTCATCTTTCTTGCCATATTCATCACAACGTTTCGGCCATTGTACGTTCCGGCCTTCTTCAGGTAGTTGGAATGTCGAATTGAATCCTTTATTTCGCTCGCTGGGGTAGACTGTTCTCGTTCCACGTGCCATGTCTAATGGATATCACTTATCAGATATCTCCTGTTAATTCCCCTCTCCAAGTTCTCTACCGCCTTAACCAGGTATTGAACTCACACTCATGGGGTCCTGTCACTGGATATGACTAACGTCTTTATCCAATGTGTCATGTGTCCTCGAGAAAAATTTTAAACCTGAAAATTATATTATGTAGGACCACCTTGTAGGTATAATTGTCATTTTTCTTTCCATTTCCCCTAAAATTTCCTCGTTACTTTCATGATCCTTCTGTCGAACCATATTTCTGTTGCTTCAAGTCTCTTCATCTGTGAGGAGATTGTACGGCATTCCTTGCCATCATAGGAGGACTGATATTACATAACATTTCAGTACTCTTTTCTTCGTTCCTAACGAATATTTTCTGGTTTCTTAATACTTTGCTCAGCTTTTGAAAGGCATTTTTCACTGTTCAAATTCGCCTTCGGATTTCAGTGTCACATTTACCGTCCTCTGTTAAAACACTTCTCAGGTATTTAAATTCTTGGACTAGTTTGAGTTTAGTGTCTCCAATTCGTACTTCGTACCTGGCGCTGTTCCTTTTGCTAGAAATCATATATTATCTTACAATTGGTGTTTAGTCCTTTCTTCTTGCTTTCCTTTACTACCTTCTTTAGCAGTTTATGTAGTTTCCTTTCTATATCTGCTATCAATACTGTCATTTGTATATTTTATGTTGTTAAGATTGTGGTTGCCAATAATGAATCCTGGTAAGACTTCTAACAATTTCAAGATTGCATTGCTGTAAAGGTTGAATATATCTGGTGAGAAGATATATCCTTGTCTTACGCCGCTTTCTGTTTATGTGCATTTAATGAATTCACTTTCTCTTTCCCCCATGACTATAAGTTCTAGATTATTCTAATATCTTTGCCAAATGAATCAAGCTTACCTAGTAGTTGAAACAGTTCTTTGCGTCATATTTTATCAAACACTTTTGCATAATCTATAGAACATGAACTTCTGCACTTGTATTGCTCTTTGTGATACCATTCTAAGCATAAATATCGGATTCCTTTGTTAGTGTCTTTAAGGAAACAGCACCGATGTCCTATTTCTGGGCTCATTCTGTCTCGCCCTCTATTGATCAGAACTCGGATGATAAGTTTTATGCGGCTCATTAGGCTGATTATTCGATTACGTTTGCATTCACTCACACCTGGCTTCTTAGGCAGTGCTATGAAAATGGATCTACTTAGGTCTTCCGGTATATCACCACTGTTGTATATTTCATTTGTTATGTCTTTAATTTTCTCAATGCTGCTTTGTTCTTGTTCAATTTGGTCAGTGCTGATTTCACTTTAGGTTTTACTATTTCCGGTCCTTCCATATTTTTGTGTATTGCAGGCTTTCTTCTTTCGCCGTCAAAGCATTTATCCACTCTGGTGAATAGATATAGACGGACAGTAAATTCTGACAGTACGTAAAATCTCAAACAACAATCATGGTTGTAGTTTATCGACTAAATTTGAAACTAGACAATCTTCATTATTGTTCCAGATTTAACCTACCGCCAGAATTTGTCGTCTTGTTTATTTAACGACATATCACCTCATTATGGTTCATTTAATATCGAAATTAATTTTCTTAGGAGCATTAATTTCATTTACAAAAATGTATTGTTGGTAATATTTTTTATTTAAAAAAAATGTAATGCTAGTAATTACTTTATTATGAAAATATAATGTTGGTATTTTTATATATCAAAGGATATTTTTATGATTCAAAGTATTTTGACCACACTTTTCGGGTTAACTATTTGGCTATAGTTGGGAGTCTAACAGGTGCTACCACCTCGGACCAGGGTGGGCCTGTGCACAACAGCAATTAAGAGGTGTTTTCACGCTTGCTGCCAAATGTAGTTTATCGTCATACCCAGGACGGCAATTTGCTCTCTTTTTATATGTGATCATCAGAGTGGATAAATGCTTTGGTGTTCTTGTTGAATAAATCTGTTCCGTTATATCCCGCGTTACATTTTAAAAAAAAAAGGCTTATAAAATGATTCCTGTTTAATTTTAATTCTAAATTAATCGTAAGCTCGATTTAATTTTAGTTCTGATTTTATCAAAAGCCCGCAAAAGTAGTTGGAACGATACGTATTCATTTTAACTTGTTTTTCTAACAATTTCTATTAAAGTATGTTGTATATATCTATTATATAAAATACAAAAAAAATAATTATTTCCTTGATAGGAAATAAAGAAAAATTTCGTGCACGATTTTTAAAATTGCATCTGTATATTTATATTTATTGTATGAAACATACTATTATGGCACAAGGCCGAATTGCATCTGTATATTAATTGAATTTTTGTTAAGGATAGAATTAACTGATTTCAATAAGTTGATCACTTATGGCATTTGAGTGAACTAAAACTTTGTATGAATCATTTTTACCCTATAGATATATTCATCTATACAAAGATCTCTCTCTCTCTCTCTCTCTCTCTCTCTCTCCCAGAAAACTTTCTTACGTGTTTCATCCTCTGTGGGACTTTATACATATATGTCTTCTGTTTTTATATATTCATTTCATGTAATTTTACCAGATTGCGTAAGTTTTTAAGAATCTTAACTGAAGTCTTTATCTCGACCGAATTAGAAATTCAGTTTTAAAAACTTGCGTTGTCTAATATTGAACGCTATCATCTCTCTATTTCTCTCTATCGTTCTCTCTACTTCTCTCTATCGTTCTCTACTTCTATCTATCGTTCTATTTCTTTCTATCGTTCTCTACTTCTCTCTATCGTTCTCTCTACTTCTCTCTATCGTTCTCTACTTCTCTCTATTGCTTTTTGTGTGAATGGTGTTGATAGGATCTAGGTCAGAACAAGAATGGATTAAAAACATCAGGTCATTTGGTAAGATTTTGGAAGTGGGTCAAACTTAAAATTTGTCAGCATCCCATGCATATAACGTGTGTGTGAATGTGTACCAATTGTAAAAAACGAGTTCTTTTAAGGGCAAGTTATCTTCGTTAGTGGTATAGATGTCTGGATACAACTCGGGCCTTATTAGGAATATCGGCTGCAACTAAAAATAGAATGTGCTGTGAAAGAAAAAAAAGCCTCTTCTTCCATTAAACAAAGAGGCCCATTTCGTCTGAACACCTTCACATAAGGGCAGAAATATTTACCCCTCCCCCTCCAAAAACACACACACACCAAATTTTCTACTTTTCCCTCTGATTGAAGGTCGTAGGTAATTGGTCGTTTTATATAGGCTTTTATGATATTAACGGCACGTAATCCTAATGTGTATGCAAATCATGTGACCAGATTACGTGCTTTGAATTCATTAAACCACGTGTAAAACTAACTTGTCAGTTTGATTTGGATCACATCATAATGAACCAAGCTACATTAATAAATATATTATAGAATAGAGATAGCGGGACTGAGATAGATCTTTGTGTTTGAGTCCAAGCAAACATCAGGCCGTTCGAGTGTTAAAGCATTCGCTCTTTCTTAACTTGAAAAACGTTGCATTTATTTCGAAGTATATAGCGACGCGCGCATAGCGTAGCAGTTATCAGAGCGGAAAGTAAGATCGGCGAGTCCGCTGCGTTCACCGTCACACAAATAACCTTGGGAAGGTATGAATCCATCTCTTTTCTCCCCCATCTATAGATTAAATAGAAGTGCAAACTAGGCACTCTAGCATTGGTTGGCAACCAGTCTAGTAGAAGGACAACTGTGAATTCAAAAACCGGAGAGAGCAACTACGTTCCGCTACAACCTATTTGCTACAGAAACCGCAGTAGCAACAACATCGTGTGGCGAGACTGTGATCCTAGTCTCCACAACGGAATGGCACGAGGAGAGGGATACGTGCCTTGTGCCACACTTAAAGACCCATAAATTGTCCCTACATGTTTCGAGATTAGCATACAATATGCAGTAGTGACCATCTTTAAAGTATTACCTTGTTACACTTAAAGAGGGAGAAAATTTCTCGTTTATTTCTTATTTACAGAAATGCAAAAATAAACTAATTCTTGAAAAACAGAGCAGGACAAGCCACACCCAACTGAAGATAAAATAAAACAATTTTGACATAAAAATAGAAGCTATTACATTTTTGCTGTCAAGCGTACAGCTATCATAATCTCCACGTCAACTGGGAAGTTTATTGGCTTGTCAATGTGAGAAGAGAAACAATAACAGATATTAAAGTTTCCCTGTGCGCATGCGTTGAATTTACTATTGACAAGAGCCAAATGATCCTAACTTTGAAAGATTATTGCTTTGGGTTTTTTTTCCTTCATCTTATCGTTAAGATATCATTCATGCTCATTGTTGTTTCCGAAGATTTGTGACTACTCACTTGGATGTGTTTTAGTTTTGGCTACCCTCATAAACAAATGGCCCATCCGTAAAACCTATCACGCACAGTGTAAAGCAATGTGTAATACAGTTTACACGGATGTTCTTTCTGGATTTCTCTTTATGCCTTCGTATCTCTATTATATATTTGGTATGTCTTTCAGTGAATTAAAAGTTTTTTGTCGATTTTTTTACAGCAAATTCTCAACTAAAAAGAGAAAAAAATGTATGTATACATTTTTAGCGTTTGTATTTCTTTCCTGGTATTTTCCCCGTTTTTTTTTCATTTTTATTTTTTTGTCAAACTGATTTCAACAATAAACATGTCATTCTCGGAACGGAACTTGCTACTAAGAGTTTTCCCATTCTACTTAACCATTATTAATTTTATATATACTTTTCTATCATACGGATTAAAAAAGCACAAAGGGCTTTCTATTATAGTGTTACAGTTCAAACCAGACACCATGTTCGTTCTTAGGGTGCTGCATCTTCCAGTCAAACGCCCGGGGCTTAAAAATAACTCTTCGGTCACATTGTTACCCACGATATAAAAGCAGGAGCTGATTGTAGCAGTAAGCAAATTTTATTTGGTTGTCACCTTCTGCTGTAGACGAGCGAGACTGAGATAAAGTGGAGGCGAGTGGTGGGGGCCAACAGTCTAACGGGCGTGTCTTTTCGCATCGCGGCGAGCGGTCTCTTGTATCTTTCTATTAGCCTTCGTTGGTCTCTCTGTTTGTTGCTTCTCGGAACCACTGTCTTCTAGAGATCAGCGTTCGTTGTCTTGTCATCTTTGTAATTTATCAAGAACCTAAGGTCTTGTTCTACTCAGTGACCTTCCGACATGTTTCTTGTGATAATCAAAGCAATAACTGCCGAAAAAATTCTTTGTCATTCCTCAGATGTTTTCATTTAACAAGATATCTGGTAACACTGATATCGCTAAACTAGCGTTGGTTGGCGTCCAATCTAGGAGCAAACAGAAAACTGAGAACTCCTATCGCCCATATTGTGTGCATTATCTGTTTAGACGGCAGTAGCTAAATCATTATAAATTGTTGTATCATGATACATTGTTGTATCATGGTACATTTTTGTCATCTCTTAATACATGCCCAGCCAACACGGAACTTTTTTTTTATCAACGTTGCAGACCTGTTGTATTTTAGCTAAGGGAGATGTGGTGACGTAACTTTGCAATCAACTACTTTCATGACGCCAAACTGATCGATTGTCACAACATTAAGGTAACACTGCGAAGGGCTATAGTTGAAAAAATTCTGCTCGAGTCAATCATAACACCAAAAACCCTATATATTAGGCCAATCCCCATGGCATGCCAGTGACGAAACCTTTTTGTTTTGTCAAAATACCTGGTAAAAAGAATAGGGCACAAATTTAAAGTACACTTACTCGGTTTCGGTTGGAAATCGAACTCGTTATCCCAGGTTTATATTTATGCATACTTACATAAATACAGTCGTATACACAACTCAAGAAGTATTGTGGTGATGGTATAAACATAGCTTAGATGTCGCATAGAGCCATAAGTATAGGGCACCTAGTGAGGATCGAACTCACTCTCAGTCGTAATTGATTTAGCGAGACAAACTTGCTAACGATTACTCCCCATTGAAGTGCCCAACTCAAAAAAAATATTATGATAGATAAGCGTAAACTGGTTTTTGTTTGTGTTCTGTTTCGTATATTTACATCGTTTTACATACTTCGGAATGGCGTTATCAAGCTTTTAACCAGTGTAGTGGCATTCGCGAACGCGGTTACAGAAATGTCTGCCGGAAACACCTCAGGTGCACCAAGAATAATTACTATCGGCGGGCATAACCTTAAAAACGTTTAACCATCTATTAATTCTAACATTTTTTTTCAAATATACGACTATTTACGCTATTTACATTGTTCGGTCTGTTGTCCTCATTTTTGTTGTCATATTCACGACGTTTCGGCCGTTGTACGCTCCGGCCTTTTTCAGGTGATTGGAATTTCGAACCGAACCCTTTATTTCGTCCATCTGGGTAAATTGTTCTAGTTCCACGTGTCATGCCTTTTCCGGATTTATCACTTATCTCCTTTAACTCAACTGTCCAAGTTTTTGTTCGTCACTGCAGTAGGCAAGTATCGAACTCATTACTCTTTGGGTCAAGTCCAAACAATATAAATAGCGTAAATAGTTCCAAAACATCCACTCAGAAATTAAAAGACATTAATATCCTGCATTACTATTTAGCAAATAGTATACTGTTTTTTTTGTTTTTTTTTTATGTATACACATTCCTTAAGGTAACCCCGAAGAAAATATTATGGAGTCGTTAGTTTATGAGAACGCGGTAGTCATAAAAATTCGGGAAATTATTCAGTGACCAATGATGGATTGTTTAAACCCAAAATAAATTTTCCTCAATTGCGGTTCCTTGTTCAGTTGTAAATTTTTTCCATGGTTAATTTATCAATCTCCTCCTCACAGATGAAAAAGAGACTTGAAGCAACAAAAATATGGTTCTACAGAAGGATGCTGAGAATCTCATGGATCGAATATATGGGCAACGACGAAGATCTAGAGACAAAACAAAAAGGACATTTGTACTCTAACATCAGCAAGAGACAGTTGAAATTTATAGGATACACGATGAGGACAGAAAGCTTGGAGAATTTGATACTCATAGGACAGAATGAAGGCAAGAGAAAAGAGAAAACAACACATAAACTATCTAGTGATCTTTAGTGAATAAATTTGGAGAGATGGCCAAGAGCCATTATTAAGAGCTAGAAAGGCCAAAGAGCATTCACTTTTTTATAGGACGGATATTAAATAACAGTTCAGTACTCCTATTTTTGTTTATAATTACATTTTTTGTTTCCTAATACATTGCTTAGCTTTTAGAAGGCATCTTTCGCTATCCCAATGCACCTTCGGTTTTTCGTGTCGTACTTTCTGTTCTCTGTTAATACGCTTCCTAGATATCTAAATTGTAGCCCCTGTTTGATTTCGACAGCAAAATATTAAAGGAGAAGAAAATTACCTTAGAAACCAAGAAAATAACACTGGACTGCGATATATTATCTATCATCCTTTATGGCGGTGAATGTTGGACAATCCTTTCACAGACTTAAAGCAACGGATGTAGTTCTATCGACGAATTCTATAGAAAAAGCATGCAAGATACGAAGTTTCAAGAATAATATGAACTACAGGCAAACTACTACAATCATAGTTAACTGAAATGTTGGGGTCATAGTCAAGAAAGAATGGTTGGAGTATTTAACGCTGACAGTGAATATTAAAAGCTAGATATGAGGCGGGGAAACAATGAGTAACCTACTTGATAACTTTGAGTTAGTGTATTGCAAAACAAGAGCCACAAAGAAAAAAAGAGAGAGTTAAGAGTCTCTCTGAGCAAGAGAAAACATGAAGTTGTGGAGGGTCATAATCACCTATTTCCTGAAATTCATAACATCA